TGTAGCAAATCACCCACATTCCCTCCGTAGTCCACAAGTAAAAAGTAAGAACAGACTCCCAAGAGGATGTTTCCCCAAACACTACAATCTTAACCTGTTCAAGTCTAGAGTTAACCGTTATCTTCCTCTTTTATCCATATAAACTACAACTTATCATAGCCCTCTACCTAGAATAGCCCCTGTACCTTGTAGAGGGTGAACGTTACTATAAATGCTTTTTAGACACAAATATAATCGACCAATGTTTATATAATATCCAATCAAGTACGTATTTACAAACTTAAATATAACCTATTAGTTTTACGTATTTTTTAATCAGGTCAATTCAAATAGACACAAATGTTATCGAATGATTCTTACATTTTCCCGAAGCAAATAATTGCTTGTAGACTAAAATATATATATTATTTTTTTTAAATTAGCATGGAAACACTCCTTATGTGCATTATAAAAGGAACACTTCCTCCTAAGAGAGTTAAAACCTGCCGCTTAGATGTTTAAATGGCCGCCACTCTTCTTCGAATTTCAAATTTTTCCAGCTTTTTATTTTGCTTGCTTTTTCAAGACCGTGTACTCCATCAATTATAGGAAGGACTTTACGTTCCATAACTATTTTCACTCTTCTTGCAAAACCGATATATTTGTTCAGTTTTCATCCCCTTTCTATTCTGTGCTCCTATTAAAACAGCGACGTCCATTAACACAGTTTGGGGGCTTCTGTCCTGGATTGGTTGCTCTGTTATTATTAATATTATTATTACATACGATTCTGGATAGATAGATATATAGAAAGAAAGAAAGAAAGAAAGAAAGAAAGAAAGAAAGAAAAATTGAATTGTATTTTGATATGGAAATGTTAGAAGGCATCTCCTGTCCACTCTTATTGAAGTGGTCATTGCGGCTTCACCATTGTTCGTTCCTCAGTCCTTGTTGTAACCTTTCATGTGTCCTCAAACGTCTCTTGTTCACTGGAAAGTTGTCATAGCAACAAGCCAAGAATAGGGTCATAAGAAATGACCCTGCCGTTGACAAAAGAAAGAGGGCGAAAAAAATAAATAAATAAAAATATGGCAGGAATTTAAATAAATTAAATAAAAAATCGGATGTTAGCTTCGGGGCTGAGTAATGATTAGTAAATCATACTACTGTGTAATCAGTTTGATCCTTACTGCGTGTCCCATACACTAGATGTTGTGATAGGTTAATCTAAATTTAATTTTTAAAAAAGGCGCCTTCCTTAACGCTATTGTTATTAAGATTTCATTACGGACCAATTCACTTGTGTAGTGAGTTCGATCCTCACTAAGTGCTCCACTATTTTCAAGACAATTTTAGAAAATAATTGTCTGCCTCGTCAGTGAGTAACAGTTAATGAGCTCGTCTAGGAACGCGTTATGCAATGTAGTAAGCCTGATCCTCACTAAATGCCCCACTATTTGCAAAAGAATTTTAGTAAATAATTGGTTTGTCTTTGCGCATTAATTAATGAAAATGGCTTAGCAAGTGAAAATGAATTAACAATCAATCAATGCAGTGTAGTGTGTTCGATTCTCACGAGGTGGTGCACAATTGTGACCTGTCAGACTAAGCTGAGTAATAAAGCTCTCGATCTTGTCACACTGAAGGTTTCAATCATTGTCTGTTCATTGGAGTTAAGCGACGTTGAATATGGCCAGTATTTAAATGAACAGAATTTGCCATTGAATTATACAAAACATAGCTTCATCTAAATAAATAAACTGCAAATTATGTCTATCTGTGCGTCTGAACCCCCCCCCTCTAACTCTGGCCACATTTGCTCTATAGAGGCATATATCTTTTTTCGAATCAGGATGATCGCAAGATTGAAAATCCGCCCTTAATCTGGTGTTTGAACATCCAGCATTGGGATTTGTGTCCGAATGAGGAGGCAACTGTTAAAAATTCAAATTTTAAAATAACTGAAATAAATTACTGATATTAACTGTTTTAAATTTATATTGAGTTTAAAGTAACATAAAAACTTTGTGAATTTAAAAAAAAAATGTTTTAAATTCAATTTAAAATATCTCCAAATCTTTGTGAATTGAGGAAATCAATTTTATTTCTTCAAAATGCCAAGAAATCATATTTAAAGTGAGAGGTATTGCAATGTGAAGTTTTGAAGTTCCGTAGGGTATGTGATTTGAAGAACACAATTTTCGGCCTAATTTAGAAATTTGGCCCAAATTGATCTTTCGATCCAAATCTGTCTTTTGGGCGGAATTGGACTTATAGCCCGAATCAGAGTTAAAGTGATGTTTTGAAGTTCCGTGGAGTGAATTCAAAGTTATTTCTTCAAAATTTTCGTTGCTGTCTTCTAACCTGGGTCACGGGTCTCTTTGGTTTTGGGCCGAAGGTCCAGTTAACCCACCACAGAAGCTAGCTTAAAAGTCCGCACTGAGTGACTTTTAAGCTAATGACTAATAAAATAAAAGAAAGAGAAAAACAAGGAACAGTGAGGAAAATGAAAAAATAGAATGGAAGAATGAAACGGCAAAACAATAATATTCCTAAAGATTTACTCAAAGATCAGCGTGAAATTCTCATTAAGAGACTCGGTATAAGGGGCTTTTGAGTCAGATTAAGTAAAAGGTAATCTACATCATATTGGGAGCAAACCGTCTGCATACGGATAGAAAGCCAATTCGGCATATACACAAAAATAGAAGGGCAAGAATTTATAAATGCAAAAGACAATAGGAAAACTGTAATATTAGCCGACGCATTTCGTCCAATGTGGACTTTTTCAAGGCAAAAACGAAATGAATTTATTAAACAAAATAACTAATAATAACAAAACAAAATGTCCTTAGCAACTGGAAGAATTTAGAGAACGCTATTTTCATACTGTTAACTGAAAATTAAGATGTTTTTATTGTTGTGTTGACGGATTTCACCATTTTCTTTTCTTGATACTGTTGTGTACGTTTGTTTGAGAGAGTAGTAATCTTGTTAAAAAAGGTGAAATAGGGAAAAATCCTGGGAGTAGATTAATATTTGGGTAATATTCAATGGCGGCACTCTCGAGGATTTTCCTTCTGAGAGAGTTATTTTCTTTTTTTATGAGTGTAGCATTTTTAAAATCAAAATTATGGTTGAATTTATTTCTATGTATGACTAGTCCATTTTCTAAGTTGTTTTTTGTGAGGTCTCTTTTGTGCTCATAAATGCGTTTTTTAGATTTCTACTTGTTTCTCCAATATATTGGGAGGAACAGTTTCGTCAATTTATTTTATAAATGCCTGCTTCAGAAATATTATTGCTATTAGTGTTTGAAGATCTGAGTATATCCATAATGGTTTTGAAAGTGTTTGTGACTATTTTAAGATTATGTAGATGAGATAGGTTGTTCTGGATAGTGGATGTGACAGAGTTGGTCGGTAGTATTATGCATTTGTTTTCATGTAATTTATTATTACGGATTATGTTATTATTTTTGTTTCGTTGTATATTTTATATGCCTTTCTTCTTGCGTTGTGGATGAAATGATATGGGTATTGTAGGTCTTTTAATGTGTTCACTATGTATATATGTTTTTGAATGTGTATTCTTACCGGATTTATTTAACATTTAAAAAGCGGTAATCCTAAAAAGAATTAGAATTCCTACCAGGGGTGCACAATTTTAAAAATACGCAAATGATACCGTCTTGATGGCAGGAAAAAGAAAGAAAACTACAGGAAATTCTAGATAAGGAAATAAGAGAAAGCAGGAAGAAAGGACTGACTATCAGTTGTATGAAGAAAATAATATATAGTCGTTAACAAGACTGACAACCTAATATACGAGCTATGAATTGGAGACATCAATTTTAAACAAATACAGAAATTTAACTGTTTGGCAAGCTTTTTAAAAGACGACTGAAAACGTTTTTGATTGATTAGATTTTACGGCTTATCATGTCTTTGCAGGTTATTTAAAGCCAGAAAATATTTTTAAATTATAAGATTTCTTTTTTTTTTTCGTTAATAATGGTTTAATGATAAAAGTATTACTAATTAACCCATAGATGGGGGAGTAGAGATTCATACTTTTTCTAAGGGTATTTGCGCGTAAGTGAATATAACAAACCCAACTGGAATTGGAACTCGGCTCACTGATTAACAATTCCGAGCCATTATCCTTTACACCATCTGCACAACGAAACTTACTGTACCTGGTATCTCCAAGCGGTCACCAATCTTCAACGTGATATGGTTGTAATCAACTGAAATCTAGGCGCATTTAGACAGCGAAACATTTCTTCCAAAAGCTAAATAAAAAAAAAACTAAGTATCAGGAAAATTTCGATAGAAATAAAGAAAAGAGAGCCTGAAATGTTATGTAATATCAATCCTCTTGTATAGTAGTGAATGCTGGAGGCATCAAAAATATGGTTCTACAGAAGGATGCTGACAATATCATGGACGGGGCGTGTAAGCAACGAGGAGGGCACAAAGAAAAGGAACAAAAAGGACAAATACTCAAAATGAGAAAGGGCAGCTTGGAAACACAATGTGGAAAGAGGACTTGTAAAATTTGACACTCATAGCATATATCGAAGTTAAAAAGGTCAAAAGGTGACAGAGGGACACTTACCTAACGAGCTTATGTGAATGAATGGCAGAATGGTGATTGGTAGGTATGGTAAAAAGATAAAACATTACTAACAGCTGCACACGATAGGAGGTTACTCACGCCCTGGAGAGATACGACATATAGAGGAAGATCTTCGTTCTGAATGCTATGACGAATTGATTTTTCTTCTTAGTTTCTTTTCATCCATTTTCTTTCCTTTTTCTTCCCGCTGCTTTCGTTTGTAGGTCATAAATCCATTTTCAGTGACATTTACCCATTAACTATAATGTCATCGCCCCATCTTATCAGACAGTCATAAGAGATTCTTCACTATCGCGATCATAAATATATTCCGATGGAATGTTCTTGAACTGGCGTATTCATAACGCACTCCCTGCCATCGTTATTATTTACTTTGCTACTTACGGCCACATCACGTTGAAACGGTGGTTCCTGTACGATCACCGAAGTTAAGCAACGTCGAATCTGGTCAGTACCTAGATGGGTGACCGCTTGTGAATAACAGATGCTGTGAGCTTGGATGTGTGGGTGGTGTAATGGATTATGACTCGGAATTGTTAATCGGAGAGCCGAGTTTCAATTCCAGTCAGGTTCGTTATATTAATTACATGCAAATACCGTTGGGAAAGTCACGAATCCACCTCTTCTCCCACCAGCTATGGGTTAATTTTAAGACTTTTGTCACTAAACCATAATTATCTCCAAAAATAAAATAAAATTTTGTACAAAAATTATTTAGATTTCGGTATTAAATAACCCATAGAGGTGTTGATATGTCGTTAAATAAAAACAACCAATTTACTTTGCTACAGAAGTAAAAAGTATTGGAACATCTATCATTAATCTAGTAAATACGACAGAAGAATTGTATAGCATAGTATACTATTATTACTGCGTTCGGCCTATTCTTGATATTCCATATTGGCGATCTTGTGCCAGACTAAGCTAAATATTTATCGTTAATCTTAGAAAATGTCTATTGCTCATTCAGGTATCGCATTAATATTGGTTTCTTATTATTTCATAAACTTTAAAAGTACAGAAACATACATTCAATCATCAGCGATCAGACCCCGAACTACTGCCAGTCACAATGAATGGGTTCCCCCCCCCCACTACCCAGCGAGGAAGCACTGCGCCTTGCGAGAATATTCTGCCTGAAACTCACACCAAACCTCAAGTGGAACTCTTACATACAACGCTAAAGATCCAGATAAAATGACCGGTTCCCCGTACCGCTCTAGTAAGGACCTGACTCCTCATGCTATGCTCAAACTTTATAACAGCCAGATCAAGGTCTAAAATGGCGGACTGTTGCCATATTTGGGCGGGAGTTGCCCAGTCCTCACTTTCCAGTCTTGATAGAGTTCAAAAGTATCTCTGAGTCCTTGTTGGGGAAGAATTATTTTCTACCGTCCAACTCTTTCTTTCTCTCTCTCTCTCTCTCACACACACACACACACACACACAGCGGGATGTGACGAGTCTCTCACTACTCTATCGCTACTTCCATGGAAAGTGATCGAACGAACTGCATCTCTTAGTTCCGCCAGGTGTAACCTTCACGGCTAGGACCCGCCAGTCCACTTATATATTAGCAAACCACCCACATTCCCTCCGTATTCCATTGGTGAGAAGTAAGTTCCACTGAAACAGCTTCTTTCCCCACCCACCCCCACGAATGACTAAACTGTGGAACAGACTCCCAAGAGGTTGTTTTCCCGATCAATACAATCTTAACCAGTTCAAGTAAGGAGTTAACCTATCCACATAAACTACCCTTTAACGTAACCCTCTACCTGGATTGATCCACCTGGCCTTATACAGGATGAACCTGTAAAACAAACAACCTGGAAAGTGTTTTAACTGTGAGGCAGAAATCCGAAATATGCCTTTCAAAAGCTAAACAAAGTATTAAAACAGGAAAAGTGGACAATATAAATTAAATACCTATTACTCTACAATTTAGAAAGGTATTTAAATGAAATCCTTGGTTTTGTGAAGATCAGTCCTAGTTTAAACGGTCCTTAATCACAAAGCTTTTTTCAAATGAAAACCCAGAGACAGAAAATCGTATTTTATTTGAGACAAGTCGAATTACCTTCGCAATGCAACGTGTCACATTTTTGTAAGTAAATGAGGATTGAGTTTAAATCATTGTTATAATTTGTGAAGAAAAGTTGCATTTCAAGATTACTCAATGATATTGCCGATGCTACGTCCATCATTTCTCCTTCTATATTTTGGATAGGAGACATTTCCTTGTTCAAATTTAAATTTAATTTAAATCAAAAGGGGGAAAATTCACTGGCAGGTTTGTTTACCCCGAAGGCCCCTTTTGATTAAAATGAAATATACTTACCCAAGTACCCCGGGTAATTTAGTTTCAGAATATATATGGCTATGGGAGTCTCATACACCCTAGGAAGAGTTCGATAATAAACAAACAGATAGAGGCTACAACTTTATATATATATATATATATATATATATATATATATATATATAGAGAGAGAGAGAGAGAGAGAGAGAGAGAGTGAGCGAGAGAGAGAGATACCTGTTCAATACTATGTGTTACTAAGGTCACCTCACAACAATTCATGTAATGAGGTACCTAAAACTGGAGAATTTCGTTCGAAACAAATGAAATAATGTGCTCAACTGCTATGTAATATCAATCCTTCTATGGTACAGTGAATGTTGGACAAGTTCATCGCAGATAAAAAAGAAACTTGAGACAACAGAGATGGATTTCTACAGAAGGATGTTGAGAAAACTATAGATAGAACAAGCGAGTAAGCATGAAGTCTTAAAGAATATGAAATCAAAATGACACTAGTCCTTAAAATCATAAAGAGACAGTTGAAATGTCTGGTACACATAATGAGGAAAATGGGTTGGGAGAATTTGACACTCAAAGCAACATGAAGGACAGACGACACAGCGAATAATCTACGTAACGAGATTGTCTTAATAGGTGACAGATTTTGGATTAGAAGGGATAGTAAAAAAGACAAACAAAGAGCGACTAAAAATGGGAAGTTTTTTTGTTTTTTTTTAATTTTCTTTAAGCATTTCACCCCAAACAAGGCGGGAGTGCCACTAGCACGCAAAGGGTAACAGAGAGTGGGAGCAAGGGTAAAGAGACGTGTTTGAAGGATGGGGAACTAGATCAAGGCATCAGAAGATGTCGATTGACATTACATTTGTGTTATGGTCGGGTTCCTTGTACCACGGTGATAGTCCAAGATAGAACCAATAAAGAAGAACTCGAACATGGATATGGAATAACAGAGATATATTACAAACAGGAATATATACAGAGAAGTAGAAGTGTTAGTATGAACAATCAGGTTTAGTAGAGAGAACAATGTAGTCTCGACCAGTATCACTATTCCAATGTCTTTCAGTAATTGTCTGAACGCGACCCTGTTTCAGACTGCCTCTGACTCGACTCTTGACTCCACTTGAACTACTGACTCCACTTGAACTACTGACAATATTCAGTCACCCCCCCACGAGGGTGTCATGTGGCACAAGGCCTTTTTAACGTGGGCATTCCCGAGCCATTAGGCCCGGCCAAAAATAGCGCCATTTGAACCCGCATAAACGGGTTCTGGGCCGGTTTAACCTCCCCGAAGGAGACTCTACCCTTCGGCGTAGCCTCCTTCGGGTTCCTCCCGCCCGTAGGAAGAGAGTACAACCGTGCAGTTGGTTCAAAACTTGAACTACTGACGATATTCAGTCACCCCCCCACGAGGGTGTCATGTGGCACAAGGCCTTTTTAACGTGGGCAATTCCCAAGCCATTAGGCTCGGCCAAAAAATAGCCCATTTGAACCCGTATAAACAGGTTCTGGGCCGGTTTTACCTCCCCGAAGGAGACTCCGCCCTTCGGCGTAGCCTCCTTCGGGTTCCTCCCGCCCGTAGGAAGAGAGTTTAACCGTGCAGTCGGTTCAAAACTTGAACTACTGACTGTTTGCTTACTCCTGAGTCGCAGTATTTATTAGGTATGGAATAGTCCATTATTATTATTATTATTTGTAAGATCCCATAACAATTTGAATATTTGAAGATTATAGCTATTAGAGAAACAAGTAAGAGGAAGGGAGTTTCACAGACGGGAAGTGCGATATAAGAAGCTGTTGGCGTAGAAGAAACAGCTACATTTAACTGTTTCGACAATGAAAGGGTGGGATCGAGATGCCAACCTAGTAGCACGCTTAGAGTCATGCACTTTGGGAACCAGCGAAAGTAACTCGTCAGAGGAGTTGCCGTGGAAATACTTGTAGAAAAGACAGAGGGAAGCCACGGCATGTCTGCGAGAAAGTGAGTGTAGACGAGATGCCAGATCAGGACCCATCACACTGCATATCTGTTATGGTAATTTACCCACGCACGCATGGACTCTCCCAGTTATAAATAGGAGCAGGTACTACGTTTTGGATGGAGATGTTTCCAGCAGTCAGCTCTGACAGTCGAACCGAACATTCTTGCTGTAACACTCTTGTTTGTATATCTTTGTATTACTGTTTCTGTTAATATATTTGTTTAACTCAATTCCTGTTTCTGTTAATATATTTGTTTAACTCAATTTGTGTCTTTATTTCTGGCCCCTAACAAGGCCACAACAATATCCACTTCTGGATTTTGTCGAGGACCTCGAGATGAACAGCGGGAGCACCAGACCATATATGGCAGCAGTATTCCGTCCAAGGACGAATGATTGATTTAATGATTTGAAGAATGGACTCAGGCGAGAAAAACTTTCTGTCGCGACAAAGAGAACTAAGTTTTCTCGCGGTAGATGAAGCTATAGAGAGTCATGATCGTCCACATTCTAACAAAACAACATGGCGCATAAAAGCAGAAGATGCTCCGCGTTGTTATTACATGCAACCGGAGACGCTGATTGCGTGATTCATAAAGTTTAACTCTATGAAGGCAGTGAGTAGAGACGAGTGTGTTGCGTGATCTTTCCTTATCGTGACAGCGGGCAAATTAGTGGCGAGGTGCCGGCAAATCAGATAACTACGGAAAATGATTTTCAAAGGCTAAAAAACAATTTGAAATCACGACAGGAAATTTACGTGTTCTGAGAAATTCTTTCTATTTCATTTGATTTCTGTTTAGAATACTTTTTTAAAGAAAATCTTTTTATTTATATTTGAAGCAAAATGAAAAATGTTTGTAAACTAAAAGGAGACAAATTGTTAAATTGATGTTAAACTTGTAAAATTGCTGAGAAAGAAAGAAACAAAGAGAAGAAATAAATAGAAAGAAAGAAAAGATACGTAATAGAAAGAAAAGAAAGAAAGGCGTAATGAATAGAAAGAAACAAGCAAAGCAATAGACAGAATAGGAAGATGTGTAATGGAAAAGAAAGAAAGAAAGAAAGAAAGAAAGAAAGAAAGAAAGAAAGAAAGAAAGAAAGAAAGAAAGAAAGAAAAGAAAGAAAGAAAAAGAAAGAGACGGAATAAATAGAAAGAAAGAAAGAAAGAAAGAAAGAAAGAAAGAAAGAAAGAAAGAAAGAGATGGAATAAAAGAAAGAAATGAAGATACGGAAAAGAAAGAAAGAAAGAAAGAAAGAAAGAAAGAAAGAAAGAAAGAAAGAAAAAGAAAGAGACGGAATAAATAGAAAGAAAGAAAGAAAGAAAGAAAGAAAGAAAGAAAGAAAGAAAGAAAGAAAGAAAAAGAAAGAGACGGAATAAATAGAAAGAAAGAAAGAAAGAAAGAAAGAAAGAAAGAAAGAAAGAAAGAAAGAAAGAGATGGAATAAAAGAAAGAAATGAAGATACGGAAAAGAAAGAAAGAAAAGAAAAGAAAGAAAGAAAGAAAGAAAGAGAAAAATAAAAAAAAAAAAGAAAAAAGAAAGAAAGACAGAAAGAAAGAAAGAAAAAAAAGAAAGAAAGAAAGAGGGAAATAGGAAAAAGGAAAGAGAAAGAGACGGAATAAATAGAAAGATATGAAGATACTGAATAGAAGGAAAGAAAGTAACAAAGATACGAAGAAAAGAAAAAAGAAAGAAGGAAAACAAAAAGAAAGAAAGACTGGAAGAAAGAAATAGTCAGAATAGAAATAGACGTAATAGAAAAGATAAAAGAGAAAGAGACAGAATAAAAAGAAAGAAATGAAGATACGGAATAGAAAGAAAGAAAGAAAGAAAGAAAGAAAGAAAGAAAGAAAGAAAGAAAGTGTCACAGTAGAAAGATGCATAAAAGAATGAATTTTTGTTCACAATTTCACTCCAAGCATGCAATAAAAGCCAATGGAATGCAAAGGGTTACTGAAAGAGAAAGAATCAGAGAGAATAATGAAAGAAAATGGATCAAAAAATCAGATAACGATCGACATTGCATTGAAATTCTTGAAGATTGTAGTTGACAGGAAAGCAGGGTCCCGAAGAGAATTCCACAAGCAAAAAGTGCAAGAATAGAAACTCAGCACAACAATGTCAAGAGTAAAATTATGAGACCTACCTACCAATCTAGTAATACGTTTAAATTCTTGAAGTCGAGGTACAAACGATGAATGCTCATCAGAACAATTACCGTGAAAATATTTATAAAAGAGGGTAAGGGAAGCTCTGTTACGGCGGTGGTAAATTACTGAAGCCGAGATGCCAGGTTGGGACCGATAACGTTGCCGATTCTTCTTTGTATTTGTCAAGAATATATAGATATGAAGCAGAAGCGCCTGACCAGCGAAAGCTTTTGACAAATAATACTTGACTATTCAAAGTTAAAAATGTGTGACGAGATTGAAATGATTCTTTGTTATCATATAGACATATATTTTTTCTTCCCTTGTCGAAATACTATGAGGAAAAACCGACATTGAAAAATATATGAACATATTAAAGAAGGTTCTCCCTCTTTTTTGATAAGGCATATAATTGATTTATATTTAAGGACAAATTGCAAATTCAATTAAAATGATAATGTCCTTCATCTTTTATGACATAATCCTAACTTAATTGCTCGGAATAAAATGTTTTGAGTTTTGCGATTACAATATCTCCATATATCATTTTAATCTCTTCATAACTAGTGCATCATTTGAGATTTCACTATTCAACAAAGGCCTTTCCAAAATCTCTTTATGACAGTGGTTCTCAGCTTCTTTTGCTCAATGCACCTTTTTCACCATGACTCAAAATCTCATTCTCCACACCTTCCAAGACTGTCTGACTCAAAAAGTAAATTCCAAATAATATGCATATATTATTGAAAACATTTATTCGTTTCCATTTTAGTACAAATACGCTTACAAGGATTATTTGTATAGAGGAATTTTACTAATTTAATAGCAACAGAAAATGTTGATGGAATTTTAAATTTGAATATATGTACAGTAGTTTAATTCATCACTAATATATATAATAAATACGAATGTTACTGTGTCTCATTTTTTCAATTAAAGGGACACAACTCTCTAACTTTCAATAGCTCATGTTACAGAAATTTTGGATTTCCAATTTTCATTACTGCAATTGTTTTCAGCAATTTTTATGTGATTTTTTACACGAGTAACAGTTTTTGTGCGATAGCAATTTTATAACTTGAAAATAAATTGGGAATAATCTAAATTGATTCCGAAATCCAACGAAAGTCACCCATGATATAAAAATAATTTTTTATATGGAAAATAAGGACCTATGTACATTAAACTGTGTTTAAATTAAGTGGCGACAGAAGAATTATCGTTGAACTTTTAAAAGGTAAACTTATTTATTAATGCAATACTTAAATGGCGCAATCAATTTTGAGTTCTTCTGTAGTTTATTGTTTAAAAAGAAATCTCCACCAACAGAGGACCAGATTGCAATCAAAAGAGTTAAGTCTTCAGCGAGGAAAACAAAGTCCCGTGCAAATAAAAACCCAGATTAAATAGCAGACAGGAGAACTTCCAATGCTGAAAATATACAAAAACCTAAGCTTAAATACCGCCCAATGGGTCAATAAACAAAAATTTCAACAGAATACCAGGGTATTGTATTTCAGTAAACAAAACTTTAAATAAATCCTCAGGTTATTTAAATCAGTTTTGTTCGGATGTTGATTACGGTCAATGAGAAACTTGTAAAACAGTAAAAGTCTTTTCTTTCTCCTCAGAAACCCAGGCATTCCCTGGTGAGGGAAATCCCCCACCCCTCACACACACACACACAAACACACACACACACACACACACACCCCAATAGAGAACCCCTTCTCTATGCTATTCTCTGTTATATCTAATCAGGAATCCTGTCCATCTCATCATTTCATTTTTATCAGGTCTTTTCCTGATGAGATTGTTATCAATTATATACAACTCAGCCAGCTTTTTGCTTCATAATATGCTTTCTCGTCCTAACCATTTTCAAACATGTCACTTAATCACTTCTACGATATTTCTTGTCGTTGCTTTCTTAACCGCTATCTGTTTCTTAAATTTACCCTAAGGATTCCTCTTTCGATTGATCTTTGCGCGTTTCTTACTTTGATACAAAGCGATATCCATAGTGATCATTGTTTTGTTTTTTTTTGTTTGTTTGTTTTGTTTTTTTTTCGTTTTTTGTTTTTTTGCTAGTCTAGATTTTGATCTTGTCCCATTATTAGGATACCATAGTATACCCACAGATCGACCTTTCTGATTATGATGTCGTATATGTGGTGATCAATGAGGTTTCTTTGCTGGTCTACCTCTTGATCTTGTCCATTAATTTGAATCCCATAATATAAGAACAGCTCAACCCTGTTCGTCTGATTACGGCGTCGTCTCTGAGTTGATTAAAAAAGGTTCGTGTTGGTTTACCTTTTGCTCTTATTCCATAATTAGGATCCCATAGTATGACCATTAGTATTCCCCTATTCTTGGCAGCCAAGAATAGGGGAATACTGAAGATAAAAGAAGAATGGGGAAACATCGATTAAACTACTTATTTATGAGAATAGATAACAGAACAAGTACAAAGAAGTGTACAAGAGATCAACAAGAGGCAGAAAGCTGTGGTGATCTATGATTTCTCGTATGCTAAAAGAATGTATATGTAGAATCCATTCAAAACATATATACACGCTTACATCTTAATGATGGTTAACACTATGTGCTCGTGTGTGGTGTGGGGACAATTACATATATTTCAAAGTTTCTTTCATTTTTTCATTTCATTTCAAAAATTAAATAAAAAAATAAATGAAACTTCTTTAGCTCAAAAAAGATAATATTTGATGCTCTAAATGTCACTAGAATGAAGAAAACCTTTTTCCACGGTTTATCAGATCATAATCTCAGGTTGTTTGCCGAAGAAACACCGTGAAGGCAGCTCTAAGTAGTATTGAGCTGCTAATGAAAGATGCCAACAATGCGCATGCTCATGTTTTGTGGAGCTTCCGGATAGCAGAATTCGATAACAAAAACTTGACGTATGATTTCATTTTGTCTTATACTTTACTGGGTTTTTTTTCTCTTTCTTTCTTTTATTTATTATTGTTTTTTGTTTTTTTTTATTGTATTATCAAACTTTTGCTTCATTTTACTCCAGTTTGTTTATAATAATATGATTACCTTCTTTTGTATTTTTTGGTTTACTTATAAAATTATGCTTCAGATTACGAAATGAAATATAAAACCTTTGGCTTGATTTTTTTTGTCTATTTTTATAGTTGACATAACATTAACTTTTTAGAAACTTTCAAGAAAATAGATAGATAGATAGATAGATAGATAGATAGATAGATAGATGAGAAAGTAAATAAAATAAAAGAATGATCAGAAAGAAACAAAGCAAGAATTGGTAACAGAAAGAGAGATGAATAGCCTGAGGTAGAGAAAGAAATGAATAGTGTGACATAGATAGATAGATAGATACAGATAGATAGATAGATTTACATTTCATTTTTCTTGATTTTGTCATACTTGTTTTATTTTATTTATTTAGGCCTTCTTTTGTTTATATTTTATTTTTTCAAATTTCATCTTTTTTAGCCTATCAATTTTAGCTTGCATTTTTTCTATTTTTTCTATATGAAATATATTACATATATTTATGCATGTTTCATTTTTTTACTTCTCTTATATACACTCGATTGAATATCAACGAAGATGACTTGAAAGTCATTTCCTTTTTGTTGTCGTGATATTATAATTATCTGAAAATAAATAAATAACGGGAAACTACTCTGTAATCACCCAAACTCCGATTCTGTTTAAAGTTTTCTTTATTTGTATTACTAATCCCTAATTAGCAGGAGTGTAGTGTTAAATACTTTTATTTTTCACATTAATTTTTTTTGTTATAAAGTGTAGAACTATTCATGGTGGAAGAAGAAAAATGATACCTGTATAAAAATATTTTTTGGACTTAAACGAACACTCGTTGCTATTTTTGTAATTCCAACGAATACTCGTTGTCACTTTCGTAATGATGGTTGTAGTAAGAGTACTTGCTCGATAATACTCACTCGAATAGTAATCCGTATAGTTATCTGAATAGAATAATAGTATAATGAATAGAGTAGAGAAATAGTATAGACAGGTGATATGTCCCGGAAAGGGATATATTTGTTCGAAGTATCAAAGTGGTTGTTGACTACTGTAACCGGGTAGGACAATCTAGCAGATAACCGTAGTGGACTGGTCCTCGTCGTACTGGTAGGCAATAGGCGTAGGCAATAGGCGAAGACAATAGGCGTAGCTCATGTACCTCCACATCAGTCTGTACTTATGGCTGACACCAGCCAATCATATTACGGTGAGGAGAACCCAGGTGTATGCATATTCATTACATCAACTAGAAATGCAGATCCGAATAGTATAGAGAGACTAGATGTGCAGATCAATCTAGACGTCACGCGACTTCCTATATATATGTTTCATCTACGGCCACGAGATCCACTTTATTCAATAATGCCTTCGTCTGTGTTTGCTCACTGGCGATCTACGTTCTAACTCCAGTGTCGGCAGCGACACTTTATTCCTAGAAAACAAATATGTTTGTTTTATTTTTTTTTTTAAATTCTATATAAAAATATTTAAAAAAAATAAAGCAACCAGTATTTCGCCACTATTTAATTTAATGCAGCTATTAGTAATCTTTTGAATATTTATACGATTTTCTTTTGAAATTTCGTAACACCCCCCCTTTGGATGATTATTATAGGGGCGAGCGGGACGTTGACACCACATTTTTATTATTATCAGTTCTCAAATTGGGCTGGAAAATGTTTTAT